GGGGGGGGGGGGGGGCTGGAAGCTGATTTGCTGCATCTGAGAAGTAGGGAGGGGAAGGGGGAGAACCACTCAGGGAAGGGGAGAGGGCTCCAGCTAATTTAACAGCTGAAGAGAACAACTTAATTAGAGTCATCTGGAAAATTGGGTAAAACCCCTTTTATCAGCCTCCCATCCCCAGACCCCTTCCCTGCCAGCACTCATGGACTTCTCCAGTGGCTGCACAGGATAGCACATGCTTTGGGATGGGGAGGGAGTACTGGTGCCCAGCCCTACCAAGCAGATGGCCTTCATTACATGCAGAATCTAATTGGATTGATCAGCAGTTAATAGGAAATTAAGAGGTGAATCCCTCCCCCCTTCCAGCTCCACCATGTGCATCCTGGCTCCTTGCAGCCTCTCTGACTGGGTGCAGCCCAGTCCCCTGCTGCCCTCCTCCTTCCCCGGGGGGGTGCAGCAATATGGCAAGTGAGGTGTGAGGGGCAAGCATCATTTGCACCTGATGGGTAATGGGTTGAGAGTGCCACGGCCTTCCTGCATGGGGGAGAAGGGGTGGTGCTGGGTGGCTGTGTCTGCTGCTGTGCAGCCACGAGGGCTGCTTGCTGCATGCTCTCCTGGTGTGGGCACAAGTGCCTGTGCTCAGGGGAACATGTGCTCCAGAGGCACTGTGGTGTGCACCCACCAGGTGTATGGCTGCTGAGTAGAAGTTTATGGTTTGGTCTTGCTCATGTTCTTCCCATTCCTGGTGCCCACAGCCTGGTTGTGACCCAGTTGTTTGCAGAGAGGGGCTGTGACTCTGCCGGCATGGGGACACTAAGCATCCCACTGCTAAATCCTCTGCAGCTGGTTTATGCAAAGGGATCTGCCACCCACCCCACCCCATGTAACACATAGGGAATGTCGGAGTAGAGGAGCCACCCCGACCTGCCAGATTAATCACCTCAATTTCTCTCTGCATCTTGTGAAAGGTCAGGAGTCTTTACGAGGCCCAGAAATTAATTGAAATACCACTGGTCTTGTGCTGGATCCATACATCATCCCAGGAGAGCAGCACTGGCATGGAGGGGATGGGGGGACCTGCCTCCTGTGCACCCCTTCTGGGATGCACGTGAGGACAGTGAGCCCCAGGGAGTGCAGCGGGAGGTGGAGGTGTCCAGGTGCTGTACCCCACAGCCTGCTCACCTCTCATCCCCGCAGGTGAGGCCCCTCACATCCAGCCTGGCCCGGGGGTGCTCCCATCTGCGTGGCTCTGCCTGAATCATTTCCTCTGGCTTGGCAGATGCACTGCTCAGAGATTGTTCTCCATCTCGAGGCAGGGAAATAAATGCATTAAACTAAACTAAACCAAACCATCTCCCCTCCCCACCTGCCCCCCCAGCCATAAATCAGCATAAATGCAATTTACATATTCATGGTATTTATCCAATAACTGTCCTGTCCCAGATTAAATGTGCCCTGGGGATCACCGGGGCTCCTTATCTGTGCCAGGGTGCTCCCGGGAAGGAGCAGCTCTGCTCGTGGATTCTAGCGGCAGGGGGGCTGTGCTCATCATCCTCCATCTCTCCTGCTCCAGGTGGGTCCCGGGAGAGGAGCTCGGAGGGGGAAATCCAGGGCTCAGCAGCAGTCCTGTCCCACACCCTTGCCCTCCTGTCCAGAGCTCACTTCCACCCTGGATCAGTGCCCTGCCATCGCTGTCTCCCACCTAGCCCAATGCCTCTCTCCTCGGGGCTGTCTGCACTCTCTCCTCGTGCCCCTTCCTTCCTTCCCCAGTCTCCCTTTGGCCCCAGTGGTGCTGCCAGGGGAGCCCCAGGGTCCCC